CTCGGCATGTGGCATCATCATTTTATAGCTATTGAATGAGATTTATAAATATTTGCGGCACGGAACCCTCGTAACGATGAAACAGTTTCCGAATCACTTCATGATCGACAATGATGAAGGTGTTTCTAAATTCTATGAAGTTGAGGTAAAGAGTTAAGCGCGATTCTAGTCTCTGTTTGATAATGATGCGGGTGAAACTCTGATTCCAGGTCGTCGTTTAGTCTTTCTAGGATGATGCAGGTAAACATTTTGCTTGGACTGCACTTCCTGCGTAAGCTTAAGTCACCCTGCCTTGGAAGTTTAACAAGGCAGCCTCTTTTCCAACTGGAGGGTACCTTTCCTTCTTTCTAAACTTTTTCAGTACTGACATGAGTATATTCACTGAGGTCACTGGGTCATGTCCCAATGCTCTGGTGGGTGAGGGTGGGCGATCCCCTCTGATACGGACAAACTCCGGGCATCCGGTAACTTTACGGTCCCCAAGACTTCTAGTTTTGTTGGAACGTTAGTGTTCACTGATAGTTCTGTGCTCGCTGGTGGTGGATTGAAAAGTCGTTTGAAGTGAGTTTCCCCTGTTCCATCCATTAGATAGTTGGGTTTAAGCTATTTGTATAACCGTAAGTAACTCTATCATGCTACTGTGTAGCTTAAGGTTTTGTAAGTACCGTTTTACCATTACTTTCGTAAGGTCAATTGCATTGGACAGTGAAAAGTCTATGAAAACAGTTTTCTTCGGCTTTTCATTCCTTGGAGAATAAAAATTTTTAATTTGAACGCATGTAATTTACCCAATGTCTAATTTTTTCAAACTGTTAAGTCTGAAACTGGTCTGCACATCCTTACTAGTCCACTTTTTTTCTTGTTAGATAATTTAAAGTGAATTTTCCATGCTTTGCTGCTAATCAGCAAGAAGTATCCGAGAATCATGATGTGTAAATTTATAGTCATATCGCAAACTTGACCGGTGGTACGCACAATGAACCAGACTTTTCTTTCCTTCGTCTGACTGCCAAGTCGCACATCTAATTCGTTTATGAAGTGATTAAACCATAACTTTAGTATTCTAGTGATAAGTTCTCGCACTTTGCCACTAGTTGGCTGTAGTTTGAATATTTTTTGAATATGCACATCAAAAAGTTTGCAGATACACCTTGGTTTCTTATGTAGCCTCAAGTGAGATATATCCATAAACGGATTCGAAATATTATATATATATGTATATATATATTATTTTCTTTTAATTGGCATATCTATGCATGCATTTGTGGTCTTCGTATAACTGCTAATAAGTCAGGAAAGACCATTTCGGTTAATATGTAGTAATGACAGCTCCGTAAATGATATTTTCAGAATTGGCAATGCCTTATCAATGTAACCAGCATCTCTTGTGATTATTCAACTGTAACAACACCGGTGATGTTGTATATAAATGCCATATTTATTGATCTTCAGTGTGCCAGCAAGACGTTTCTGAGTTAGAAGCCTTAAAAGTTTAAGTTATAGTGATCGATTTTTATGCCAAAATGTTTTTCAATGGAATATTTGTCTTTTCCGTTAGTGCATCTTATACATGGATTTCAGTTTGTGACCAGTGAGTTTTGGCAAAACCACAGTGTTTAGATTTATCCAATTAAAGTGTGATCAGTAGAATTTGTATAAAGACTATAAATTAATATATAGGAGTCGTTGAAGATGTGGAGATCATACAGATATCTTAAAATATGACTTCATATATGGCGGTGCTGTTGCAGAATAACGAATGAAATATGAAACGAAAAGCCTGTGAAATATTTAATGTGTAATTTTCATCATTTATTCTGAGATTTCACATCAGTGACTCGATGGTCGAAGGTTAAATTGTCAAGTTCGACTTCTAGGATCCCCCTGTTTTCCGTTCGGATTGTAAAAATTAGTGTTCGATCGCATATCGTGCTTCGATTTCGACAGCATCGCGTCTACATTATCAGCCACAGAGGTTCTTCAGAACTAACAGTGGGCACATAAGTGAACGTGGAGAAACCAAGGGATTTAGGGAAAACACATTACGAGCATATTAGAAATAAGGAGTTCGTTAACTTTGGAAAGACATCCATCTGCTCTTAGTGGTTTTTACGTTTTTCGCCATAACAAGTTGAACTACTTATAAAATAGTCAGTAGTAATAACGCTTAAAAACAAATTAATGTTGTGTGCTGTTAAATGAAACATCCACTCAGTGCATCCATTTTCTTATCCGAATTTCTAACTGATTTCAGTTAATGAAGAAGTCTGTTTATAAATTGGAGTTTTACGCTTCAAAGATGAAATTGATATGTTTTCCTGAAATGAATTCAAATTCTTCCAAGGTTAATCGCTTACCATATGCTGTTCATCGCATTTTGAATTAAGCTTTTCTTTATTAGCTTTGCCTGTTATCTTAAGACCTGGCAAATGAATCTAAAGTGTCCCATTAATTTCTCTCAGTTTGCTTTACTAGGCATATAGAAATAACGAAACGTGTATTTTTTTTCTGCAAATTTAGTGGTGTTTACCTTAGTATTGAAATTTGTTTTTAAGTTCTGTTTAATGATGGCGAACTAAGTTGTGTAATTACTGCTGCGGAGAATATAGCTCTGACAACTGTTTGCATGGATATTTATTCCGTAAGGGGGGAAGATAAGAGACTGGCTAACGGACCTTTATTAAGGAAAAACACATCATATTTATACATTCTTAGACACATTAAAGTTCGGCTAGGTTATAATAGAATAAATTGTTCCGATTGGTTGGAAACTGGTCCAATGTTAAACAGGTTGTCCAATGAGGTTGTTTCATTATGACAGCATAAATTCTGTAGCCAATGACTTAAAATGTCGGTTTCAGTTTTAACAGCTTCTTATCAATTTGCATCAAGCTACAATTGTTCTTCTACATACTTTAGTATCCTGTTTCGTTTTTATTTTGTTTGTGTCAAGACGCAATGGTTTACAAAGTGCTTATTCATCTTCGTCTTCATCAGGTAGTTAAACAGCACATTCTGGCTATTAGACAGATGGAAGTTGCACAACTCCATCTGTTTTGATGTGCCTTATTTGAAAAAACTTTCGGATTGTGAAGTAAATAAAGGAAAAGTAAAGCTAGGAAGTTTTTGGCCTACAAAGTTCGGGTCGCTTTCTTCATTGTAACCGAATTTGTAAGTATTTCGACTGAGTCTTACGAGCTGTCCAGTCTAAGTTTGGAGGGATCAGGTGTTATTTCTAATTTGGAGAGTGAAAACTATCACACTTTAGTATGCAGCTGAACCTAAGGAATGGATTCTAAATGAAATACTGACTTACAGTTTCGCAATTTGTGGTCACTAAGGAAATAGTAATATTACGGGGAATTACAAGCAGAAGGAAACAAACCCCGTAACTGTTTCACTAGGATTGATTTTCTTGACTCAGAAAGAGGGTGTATTGATTACGTCTTCACTCTTCGAAAGATTCTAGAATATAGGCATACTTACCGGCGTCAAACAATCGCGATATTTCTTGACCTGAAGGAGGCATTCGATTCCGTTGACTGAGAGTTACTATGGCGATCTTTGGCTGTGAAGGGAATACCTAGAATATAAATCAGACTGATCAAGGTACTCTAATTGAACTCATGCAGCCAGGTGAGAGCCTATGGAGAGTTGTTATCTGAAGTGGTGACAACTAGTGGTGTCGGTCAGGGATGCCCACTGTCTCCATTTCTGTTTAATTTCATCATAGATGTACTAGTGGAATTAAACCTAACTGCTGACCTTAGCGACTTAGGCATTGAATTGTTACCACCAGGAAATAATCTCGTTGACTTAGAATTTGCAGATGATATGGTCCTTCTAGGTGAAGACGCTAACAAAATACAGAGCTTTCTGAACACCTTGAGCTACAATCTGTGAATGTTTGGCCTGTGACTCGCTCCCGCCAAATGTAAGATGATGCTACAGGACTGGACTACATCAACCCCTAGCGTAGAGATAGGGAGTGAAGTGGTAGAGCGTGTTGACCACTTCACTTATTTGGGAAGTTGTATCAGCCAACGCCAGTTGGTGGGAGTTTGCATATGCCAACTTACTTCACCTCTGTCATAGACGTGATATCCGGCTATTGACCAAAGGATATGTGTACTGCACAGCAGTTGGCTCTATCCTCTTTTACATTTGCGCATGAGACTGCCACTAAAAGTGGAAGACACGAAAAAGCTAGCTGTCTTTGATCATATGTGTTTGTGTTCTGTCTCCTATGTTAGTTGGCATAATAGGGTGAGTAATATTGAGGTTAGGCGTCGAGTGCTAGGTAAAGAGGGGGAATCAATAGATGAGGCTGTGAAGTTACATCGATTGAGATAGTTAGGACGTGTTACGTATGCCTAGCCATTGTCTTCCTCGATGGGCAATGTTATTTGCCATAGGATTATCTTGGAAAAAAGCGAATGATAGTGTCACCAAAACTTGTCATCATTTCATGAAATCTTTAGCACAGTCTGTTCCTAGTAGGGAGGTTAAGGCTTTCTGGTTGAGGTCCTCAGAATGCTAAGTAACAATGGCTGGAGATCACTCTGTTTCTTCTCGCTCTTTTTTTCTTAATGAGCTACACGGAATGTGGCAACCTGGACTACTACACTTCTGTGCAAAGTTCTCTGTCGAAGCCAGTCAATTAGTCAGTCAGTATGTGATATTTGAAACCATGAGGAATAGCTTTAGAATAAAGTAAACACAATAGTAATCACATAGAAGCCAGAATACCAACTTTTGTCTTTTGAATTCATTTGCTTACTATTATTTGTGTATAAGAAATAGAGTCTCAAATTAAACTACACCTTCAAAACGCCAGCTAATTACTATGATAGCAACAGTTGTCATAACAATAGTAACGACAATAATAGCTTACTATTCTAGTAGTCATATGTATATATAATTGCTATACAATAGAGGTTAAAAGAAACAATAGATTGAAAACAAAACGAAAAGACGCGCCAGGAGGCTGTCCAGTGAAAGTGACAGAATCATTCAGTAAAAAAAATGATGATAGATTCACAGGGTCTGAAAAATGATGAAACTTATCACTGCTAATGAGAAAACGAAGAGTAGATCTAAACAGAATAATTCAGTGATCATCATAAAAGTACTGGAATTAATTCCTAATTTTCTAAAGCATATATCTAAAGTTGTAATTATTTTATCGAATTTATTTCTGAATACTAAATTTCATTTTGAATGCACACAAACAGATTGTGTTCCACTGAATGTATATGAATGAAGTACAATTAACTAAAAGAAATCTAATCATCTATTTTGTACAAGAAGCATATATATATGTATTGTTTCACTCTTTCACTCAAATGGACTGATGACATTATACGACTAAAATTAACACAAAAATAAAAGTAGAGACATTTTGAAAATATCACTACTTGGCGATCTAAAGTAGTATTTGTAAAAGGAAGAAGAAATAAAGATTTATGGTTGATTTAAAAGTAGCAATCTGAAAAAAAAACCAATTAGGTTATTATTTCTGGTAGAAATTTCAAACTACTTTTAAAGTTGTAAGTAGTAGCATTATGCAACAACAGAAAATGGTTATTATTATATGTACATAGCTATCAAAATGCTACATCGGGTTGTGTTTGTTGAATTGTAACAGTTCAAATTTCTACCCAAAACAATGTTTCATCATAAAGACTATGGAAGCCTTGAAAAAGAGGAATGATAAAGTTTATAAAGCTGTGATATTTATATGCTCACTATCAATGGAAGATGTACACACAACGCCAGATTTTACTCCACTCCCTCCACTGTGTGAGGATTTATTAGAAAATTCAACCATTTCATTCTGATGTGAATGTTTACTTCGCTGAGATTGTTTTGTTATACGACGTTGTATCAACAGATCTAGTCGTTTTTCTGATCGACTGATAAGATTTACTACTTCACTGCAGGTTAAATTGTCAACTGGAGTATCATTCACCTTGGAAAAAAAGAAAGAAAAGAAAATAGATTGAGAAAACTTCAAAGTTATGCAGCGGTTGCAAGAGCAAATAGAAAGGCAGGAGTTTTTTAAGATGACTAGTGACTTCATATATAACAGAATAATTAATTGGGTTTATCAAACTAGTACAAGAAACGTTTAATTTTTCTGCAGATAATATACAAAGCTCGTAAAACTTCTGTTCTTCAACCTAAAACTGACGCTCAGTGCCGCTTTTTAATTTTCAACGATTTTCGATTGAATTCTCCTTCCACCTACTATTAGAAGCATGACAGTGGACAAAGATAATGACCAGCTCACTAGCCTTGGTGTCACTAAACAGAAATCTATCAACCAGAGTACATGTCAGTTACCTAAAATAGAATACTGGCGTGACGATTACACCACTGTATTAGCACTATAATTTACTCATAGTCTTTCGGTTGTTGGTACGAAGTGCAGTTTGGATCTGTTCAGTATGACTTTTTGACCAATTAAAATTGGCAGACAATTTCAGTTCTTTTCCATGGTGTAACACTATAAGAGGAGTATCTTCTTAGAGTTCAGTGTCTCAAACCTCTTGGCAGATGGTGGATACTAACGAACTTTTGTTCTAGAGGAGAACATATGTAACTTAGAAAGTGAATATATCGGCGAACGTTTCATCACAGTTGGAAGTGATATACAGAATGAATGAAATATCTGTGAAACCTTTGCCTAAAACCATTTAATGAATTGATAGTGCTGAGAAGTCCCAAACTAGGCTTAAACAACTGCTCAGAGACGAAATTTACACTGAAATAAAATTAAATACCGAAGGAACATTAAATTATTTATTCAAAGAAACCTTTTGACACCACAGACTGAAGTGAAAAGCAGAATATTCCAAGTATGGATTAATTTAAAAGTATCTTTAAGTTCAATCAGATCACAAAGACAATCATTTCAAGTCTCAATTTTTCATTAATCATAAATAACACTAACATCTTACAATAAGATTTTATACTGTTCAAATGAAAAAAATTAACTCACCATTAAAATTCGATCGTATAGAAAAAGTTTACCAGATAAATCAGCTGGTGAATTTGGACGAATTGCACTGACAAATATACCCAAAGTGGAGATACCTTCAGATACACCTATACCATATGAATCTGTAGTTGATGTCTTCTTTAATCGAATCCATGTACACCAAGTATTCAATTCAGTAAAGTGGTCATGTTTCAAGCTTTTCGCAATTGATGTTTTATTCGATTTAGATTTTTTAGAATGTGATCTTTGAATGCTACTAGGAAATTGTGATTGGGTAGTTTTAATATTCATTGGTGATCCTAATGTGTTTGATTTAATTCTTGAGACTGTTTTATCTCTGTGGTGTAATGAAAGAAAAGTATGAAATAATAATTTATGGATTGGAACAGATGCAAAATTTGCTCATTAAAACAAAATAAGTAAGGTAAACGTGATCATACCTTATGAAGCATGTTTGCGAATTCAAGACCAATAATACTCACTGACTGCACATGTAATCTGGGGTTCGATTCCTGACCGACTCATTCCTAAACCTGGTTAGGGTCAGTAGTGAATCTGATAAAGAGGGAAGGTTTGGAGTGAGGGTAGCAACCCCAGTGTTACTCAGAGTTCGAAACTGAGTCTTGAAGCCCTGTGTTACACGCGGAATGCGAGGATATAAAATAAAAAGACAAAAAATAACATTTATTTACTGGTCTTGCTCAAACTAATACTTCAGTTGCGATTTCTTTCAAAGTGCCATTCTTACAAATAGAAAAATGGCTTGCTAAAATAGAATAATTAGCGTAGATAGATTTTGGCGGGTTTGAAACTATCATGTTTAGACCAGTGCGTCAGTAGCACAGCGGTAGAATGCTCGCCAACCATACGGGCGATATGGAGTTCGATCCCCAGCTGACTCACTCCCTTACCTCGCTAAGCCAGTAATAAGACTGGTAAAGAGAGGAGGTTGGGCATGAGGCTAGCAACCCCATCCCATAAAAATAAATACCACTGCTACCGAAACTTCAAACCTCTTGCTTGAAGCTGGGAATGTAAAGGAATAAAAAAATCTTCAGACGAGTAAAAATATTTCACGATATCGTATCACTCAACGTATCAAAATTTATTTGAGGATCATCTGAAAGTTTAGCATCTAACAGGATAGAAGGTATCGCATCATCTGTTTCCGTTTGTGGTTATGTGGCTGTGATTTTCGTCAAAGTGTAGTTTTCATGAAGAACTTTTCACAAATATTAAATGAAGAAACTAAGCATTATAGTATACGAAAATTTCAGTCATAACATTCTTCTTAATAAAAGGTAAGCGACGCTTCTTAAATCTGTCTGTCATATACACTTTCTTCTAAACTAGTGAAGTTCAGAAAGGTCACTATTGACACAGTTTCACGAGACTATATTTCAAGTCCAAATCGGTCTATTGTGTCATTAAACCGCTCAAACACATCTGGATGATCGTACACAAGTTAGTATTTTTTTTCAAAGATTTAATTCGAGGTAAATTTCGTCACGGACTGACATCAATCAGAGAACCACAGAGAACCAGGGAGCAATGAGAAGGCGTTTCGTCCTAATTGGAGACTCTTCAATGGTGTGCACAAATGACTTCCTCAAAGACCAAACCCAGCACCTTTGAGTCACACTGTGAGCTTGTTGACTATTTAGACACTGGACAAGAATTTAATTCGTGTCTGATGTCATCGGCGAATACCTATCTTCATACTGGTATCGGCGGACCCAAAAGATCATCAGTTCCCATTAGAATTTCAGGATTTGAGTTCCTTATAGAAGCATTAATGTGTAGTGGATTAGGTAGCATTGAACAGCTGTTTCGCAATAGATTTATTTATTCACAACGTCTGCCAACACACACACACAAAATACTATCAAAGAAATATTTCCCTGCTAAAAAGGCACTTTGCATTTAGACATTTTCTAGTTTACATTCCTATTAACATAGAAAGTGGAATGAGAATAAGGATAGCTTGCAGAGCGAAAAAAAACAGCTAGTGAATTCCTTAAATATTCATGTGGAATGGAATGTTTACTGACATTGACAACTTGAATTTGGTTTACGATCAATATTTTTAAAAATATTTCCATAAGCTATAACATTAGTAAAGGATAGAAAAACATTTTCTTTTTGTGAAGGCACTGTCAACTTATGACACTTACGCATTAGAAGTGAAGAAAGAAAATAAAACCAATGTGTTTTCGACTAAAGATACTTGTGTCATAATATATATATGTATATATAATTCAACTGCCATTCGGATATTCTTATCTGGTAGTATCCATATGCCTTGGTCAATTCTTTGTCTGCTCTAAGTGAAGACACATAAACTAATACATTTCCAAAACTTAAATGTTTATCGTAGGATGAAAACTGAAATTTTTTACCAGAATACTACATATATACATAGATTATATGGCGGCCTGCTTAAAACTTGGGCTACCAAAAACTTCCATCTCTCTATTGCATACATTTTCTCTCGTTCGGTTTGTTTTAATCGACTAAGATATGACCTCTAATGGTATTATCTACTCTTTTGTGCATTTCAAATATTTACAAGCTTCTGTTTTGCGAATTCTTACTAAACTTGAGGAATGGCATGATTTTGGATGCCAACGTGTTCCAATACATGAGATAACTGTTCTTTCGTCATGTCTTTGGGTCTCAAAATGTACTTCTGAACATCTTACAATCGACTTCCAACTAGATATTGTGGATTTCTTGAAAGAGACAAAGTAGATATATACGTCATAATGGAATGGTTTGTGTTTCAGCCCGTAGAGCATTGTGTCACAGGATATACTGTTAATTAATATTTTGCCTGAAGATATTGCCTGAAGGGAAAATATCATGCAATAAACTGCTTTGAAAATTCTGTACATTTTATAAATACTGTCCAGAATAAAGATATTATTATTGGTCAACTTTTACAAACGCTATTCAGATAGTAGAATTTATGGGGATTTTTGAATGAATTTCAATTGTTAGATTTTCGCCAGGAACCACCATCAGTTAGACGGTTCACTGAAAACCAGGAAGCACTGGACAGCTACTTCGCCCTATTTCGAGACACCTTATCATTGCGCATTTATAACCTCACCAAGGATCGAACCCAGGACCTTCAGGTTGTTAGATCAAGCTTGTTGCCCATTCAGCTACTTGTGCTTGAATTGAGTGACCCGTTGAATATCAATCTAAAGCTCACTGATAGCTACTGGATGGATGTGTTAAAGCTGCAGTAGGAAGTCGTGACTAATCGGGTCCACTATGTCAAGGTGAAGTGGATGATCATCCAAGACACTAGTAAAGACAATGAAATATAACCGGTCACTGAATCCTAGCTCAATGGGCTGAATATTTAGTGAGTTTGGTATAGTAACCTGAAGGTTCCAGATTCGATCCCTGGAAGGATCATGGTTTCGCATAACTGAAGAGTCCCAAAGTGGAACGAAACAGATGTCTAGTGCCCCTGATTTTCAGCGATGTTTGTAGCAAAAACTCTAGCAACTGAAATTCTTTAGATGATGTTACTAGATGTATATTTATATACCATAAAAAAAATAAATATCCAGAAAAACAGTAAAGCATTTTACAATGTGATCTATATTGATGACAAATGCTGGCATGTTTGAATTAATCAGTATGGTTAGAGCAGACGCTGGTTCAAGAGAACGTAATAATTAAGTTAGGAAAAGACAACACTTTCTGAACCAGGATCAATTCACTGGATCAACGATTTATGCTGCATTTACAACTAAGAACTTTTCTATCGAAATTCATCCTGTTATAGAATATAATTCTATACAATTTTAGATTGTGTATGTCATAATATGTTATATCTTGTTAGATAGAGTAGTAGCTCCAGCTTCTTTTACTTTCACTGTAGTTATTATTATTATTGTTCCCTTAGGTTCCGAGTGGAACATAGGGCTTCAACAATACACCTCTACTTTGTTCTAATTTCTGCTGTACTCTTCACTGTACCCACTGTTGTCCATAATCTCTCATCTCCTTCTCCCCAAACGATCTCCTCCATGTCACAATACGACGGCCCACTCATCGCTTCCCATTTGGATTCCAGTGCAGTGATGGCTTGGCGCGTGATATTATTTGACAGCCTCCTCAATGTATGCCCAATCTATTTCCACTTTCTCCTACATATTTGTTGAGCAATCGGATCATGCCTGTTGTTTGGTTTGTTCCCAGATAGAGTTTCTTGTTGTTAATTCCTGCTGGCACAGTTTACTAGCTCGCTAGTTTTCTAGCCAGTCCCGAGCCAGGGAAAAGAGGGAGGGTTAAGCGTGGGGCTAGCAACCCCACCCAGGAAAATCAATCAAACTGCTACAGAAACTTCAACGCACAAGAAAAGTATAAAAAATACAAAAAATATAAAATAAAACAAACTTTTTTCGCTGGAGTCGGAGGGGCGAAACGACGCGGGCTGGTGTAAACCTTCACCTCAATACGTTTAGTTAATTAAAGTCTGTAAACGCTATAGACGAAATACATACTACACATGATATCAAAATAGAAAAAAGCACTTACAAAGCAGGAGACTGACAGTTATATATATTCTGTGGTGTAGGCATCTGCGAAGATCTAGCTATCTGTTTAGTTGGATAAGTAACACTTAAGCTATTTCTTTTATCCACATCTGAGCTGTCATCACTTAGATCTATTGATCTGATCAAATCTAATCGACTGTCAGATTTTGAATGATGATCAGTGAGCATATGTGAAGAAGTAATTTTTCCTTTATTCACTTGACTATTTTCTTCTGCATAATTGGAATGTTGTTTTAGCGGTGTTTGTTGTTGTTGATGTTGTTGGTCATAGTGAGAAGTCGATGGTTCATAGGCTACCATTCGATTTGCAGTTGATTTATTATTTCCTGATGAATAGTGTATTTGTGCATATTGTTGCTGATGATGATGAAGTTGAGCATTATCGAAATCCGGTTCAAAGTGACTAGATGCAAGCTGTGCATCAGATGTTGATCCAGTTGTACTATAAAATACAAAAATATGAGAATAGAGAAGCTTAACTCACTAGTTAAATTAAAAAGGTCAAAAAATCAATTAAAGATAAAATGAGATCACTAATGAGACAGCATCAACCTTCAGTAGAACAAAGTTGTGGGTTATCAACCTCTCAACAAGAGCATTAAGACCTGATGAAATAAAAGTTCTTGTTAAGGAGAGTCAAACATCAGTGTCAGCATTGGTAAACTAAAACCTGACTATATCATTCATAATGTAGAAGTAGCATTAAGCGAAATAAATAAAATAACTGATGAACAAATTAGAGTACAATGTCCGTTGACTTCTGAAACATCAGAAATAAGCTCGGAAAAAAATTATCACAGCAAGAAATGGCAGCCCTACAGAAATTGAAGAATGTCACAAACACAGTAATTACCGATATTAGATAGTAGTGTCCAATCAAAAGTATCTAATACAGTCCTACAGGAGGTTAATCGCGAGCCTGAATGGCTCAGTGGCAACATCTCTGACTGCAGTACTCACTGGGTGACCTGGGTTCAAATCTCAGAAGGAACATGAGTTCTTACAAGGTTTCAGATACGCTTTACTAACGAGTGCCAACTAGCTCGAAACCTAGATCGAAGGCTTCCTGCCAATGTCCCCCAACCATCTTATATCAACAATTCAAAGTGCACTGTGATGGCGAGCCACTTAGCATGGCCGCCACATTGCAAAGGACTAGACACACACACATTGCACTAGTTAGTGACTAGTGTTCAGTCAATGGTAATTTCCGAAACGGACAAGGGTAATTCAAGTTTAACTCGGTGAATAATTTTTCAATTTGTTTAATGAAAACACCAATACTTATACATAGAAGATCCGTGATGACTTAATATGTGTATCATATCAATTAGTTGATCACAAATGGATGATTCTAATTTAAAATGTTGTTTAAGAATTTTAAAGTTCAATCATCTGTAAGTTTCATCATACATTATCGAATGCGAAGTCCTTAGGCTTCGAGGTAATCAACATCAACCTTTAAACCAGTTGACGATCACTCTGTTGGCTGACACCTCTGACGCTTTTGAAAAAAAACGTCTGCACTACTGAACAGATCCATTTATAAAGTCGCAGGTACAGCAGTTAGTGTAGAAATCTCAATTAAATGAGTTTGAGTATATATGTATTGGTTATTGGAAAAGTGTCAGATAAGTGCAGCGATGTTGGTTTGTAGGAATTCGATTTGCCTCAAGTTTGATCACCTGTTGACATCAGTCAGAAAACCGCTGAAAACTAAGGAGTACTGGATGTCTATTTCATCATAGTGTGGGACTGACTACAGGAAGAATCTGCGTGGAATTCTAGTGACAAGTAGTGACCAGCGGAGTCCACCACTGTCGCGGTCGTGAGGACAATTGCTTGCCTATGACATCAGCTGAAGCTGGCATTATATATGCCGAATTAGGAGAATTGGGAATTCATATTCCAGTGGACTTCTTCTCGGTGACTGAATGGTCAACTAGCTAACCTCGTAACCTGAAGTTCCTATGTTCAATCCCTGGTGAGATAAGGAGCACATACTACTGAAGAGTTCAGAAGTGTTGCGAAATGGCTGTTCAGTATTCCCTCGCTTTCAACGGTTCTCTAACTGTTGTCATATCTTGATGAAGCTTGAAGTACATGCGAAATTTACTTTAAAAACCCAGGGAATGCTTTAAGATACTGTGGACATTTTGCATTTTCTCTTAAATATGACAAAAATTGAAATTTTTGGCAGTAATTAGAGATAAATTATCTCTTTCATGTTAACATATTCTAAAATCGTGTGACCTAATTTATAGGAAATTCAGAACTGTGGTACCATTCACACAGCCTATTCATAATAATAATGATAATTTGCTTTATTCCAAAACAGTACATGTCATACAGAATGGAATTCTCAGCATTTTACTATAGTACTGCATCCAGTTAGTACATTTTCAATAAATAGAATTCTACATAGATTAAGGAAACCACAGTTCATTATTACAACAACACATTGGCATGTCGGTAGCAAAGGTAAAGCTGAAACGGTGTTTGAAGGTGTTAGAAAAGTGGGAGCTGTCTTATTAACTGGCGTAAGCGAGAGAAAGAAACAAAGCAGCACATAACGGAAAAAGAAGAGAGATAAAATGAAAAGAAAGAAAGAAAATGTTGTACCTATTGATGATGTGAGCTGGAAAGACGAAATCCAGTTGTACTACCGACTATTTAATGAATTATAGGTGTCACGCCTAATGCTTTCTTTATCACACAGAACACGAGCTAAGTAGGGTATGGTTGAGTTTTTGCACTTGCTGGTGCGAGCATATAGTTTTCTATATTGGCTTCTGGTTTTACCTGCTGAGATGCAAGGGGGGAGTTGTGAGTGAAGAGGGTGGTGTGAGTTAGATAAAATGGACTTGGCCCATTTCTCACAGGAGTCCATGTGTCTATCGACCAGAATATTAACAAGCTGGTTTAGCGGCACGCTGCTTACCCTGCTGACAACCTTTAACATCCTGCGTAATATGTTATAGTCTTTCTTCAGTAGCCCGGGAAAAACTAAGGGGGAACAATAGAGAATAATAGGCATAATAATAGACATCCGTCTATCCATCTAGCGAGGAGACTACGAATAATAATAAATGAATGATCTGACTTAGTAGTATATTCTTAAAATATATACAAGTTGTCTAGAGAATCTGTCAGAGTTTTCTGACTTTCAAGAAAACTACATAATTGCCAACCGTATTTCACTCCATAAGCCTTCGTTATAAATTCATTCATGTTGTCTATTTAGCCATGCATAATTCATCTATTGTTTATGATATACAAATAAAATGGAAGTTTTGTTGTATGAAAATTAAAAAGATATTTTGTTCAACATTCTATAAAAAAGTTATCCTGAGATAATGTCATAAATGCAGGGCAGAGCAGGGCATACTTCAGTATGTGGCATTTTCACTCAGTTATCATTGAATAAGCCATTTAATATTCGATTCATTTATACAAAATAAACACTCTAAAAATATCATGAATAAGTCTGTTTAGGCGTGAAAATAATTCTCTACTTTCATTTCCCATGTAGAAAGTTTAAATTCACTTCTGAGTTATGCATTATAGAAGGACAGGAGATGATGAATACAGAACTTCTACAGTGTTATGATACCCTTAGAACGTAAATCTTTTATAATCAGTAAAAATATAATCAAATATTAATTTTTGGTTTTAATATAGCGAAAATATCCTTCGGAGATAGCATCAACGAGATATTAACACAACGCTTTAGAAATGAGGTATAAAGAGCATTCAGTGCTGCTGAATTGCGCTGTGTCTTCATAACCACCCCTATTTTGTGTTCGGGAGTAAGAGATGAACTGTCTAATTTCACCTATTTCATGTGTATCTATCAATTTGACTTCTCCTGTGGAGCCAGTTACATAAGTCGTACAATTAGTCATGTTTCTCGTCGGATTTCCGAACACCAGCCTGTGTGGCCAAGTAGAGGATAAAAAAGTCCATTCATAGCTTTATTCCATCTCATCTTGTGGATGCAGAACACAAGATTGATGTTAACGAGGCTTTCAGAGTCAGCTACCACATTCCAACTAATCTCAACTCTACCTTAAGAGTTCGTATACTACATATTGCGGAGTCCGTTGGGATCCACATTAAGAAACCTAACTTAGGTATCCAAAGGAAGAAGTTGGTTCAGACATTGTCCTTACTTTGGCCATTATGGTTCTAATGATGCTCAATTTCTTACGGAAATTTCCTTAATTTTATTACATATTCTATTTGATATTATATTTGTATGCTTATTATAATTTGTGCGCCTTTAGTGAACTGTAATTCCATGGATCTGAATTAACAAATCGATATCATTTAAAACACCACTATTGTTTTCGACGACTATTCTAGAATATTCTATATATATATATATATATATATATATATATATATATAAGTGTAGAGCCGAAAGAGGGAATTATCGAAAAGAATATTCTTTGCTTGCGACTGCTTCTCACAGATGATCATTATCAAGTTAAGGGTGAATTGATAAATGTTCATCAAGAAGAAAAAACCGTTAGTGTAACATTAACGGAAGAAGTAAAACCAAAACAGAAGAGGAGAGTATATGTTCCTTTAATTTTTTTATTTTTTGAAATACCTAAATAATTCAATTGATGACCTTGCAGTGGAGTCAAGGTCAAGGGGTTACATCGATGAAGGATATTATGTTGAAAACAAGAAAGATTCTGAAACAATATTAAGAAACTATATACTACTGGTCGACTGAGATGGGGGGTTGCATGCCGCTCACATCAACCAGTAGTGTTTACTGTTTCGCTTGTTTCTGGCCGAGCTTATCGACAGTGCATCGGGTTTCACTCAGCTCAGATTACTGAATCACTTCAAACCCTGGTGAACTGTATAAATTGCAAATTGTCAATTTAACATATAAAGAAATCCATCTCAAACACTGGAAATTCATGACAAAGACGAAATTAACAATAGGTAAATAAAATAAGATCTTATTTAGAAGACAAAAGAATTAAGCTGGAAAATATTTACTTTGCAGGATTTCTTCATGAAATGAAATCAGTTAGAAGATCACTGGAAAACCTGCGGAGAGTACTGGACGGCTGTTTAGTTCTACTTAAGAACTCTTCATCAGTATGCAACGGCTGAGGTTCGAACCCAGGACCTTCTGGTTACAAGGCAAGCAAGTACACCATTAAGCCACTGGGACCCGAACCAATGGCCTGTACGTGAATTCCAACTTCTACCAATTCATGATATGGCGCGACCACTAGCGAATGTCAACGGCGAGTATTTTTCCTCACACCCGAACTGCTGTACCCCACTGGTAACAACCATTGGTCACCAGTGATCGCGCCATATTATAAATTGTAATAAGTTGGAATTTATGGATGGGCCATTGGTTCAGGTCTCAGTGGTTTAATGGTCTACTGGCTCGCCTTGTAACCAGAAGGT